GTTCTTTCCAGCTGGGGCTGCAGCACGTGGCGGATCGGGAAGCTTCGGCTTTTCCAGCTCGTGGATGCGCTGTCGTTGACCCTCCAATTCAGCCTTCATGCTTTGAAGGGCATTCACCGCAGCCACACGCTCCTGTTCTGCAGCAGCACACTGCTGGAGAAGGTATTCCATATCTTTTGTTTTTGTGAACTCTTCATCAATTCCTTCATCAGTGTTTTTCGTGCTCTGAAGTTCATCTAGTTGCTGTAGAAGATATCCGATTGTATTTTGTCGAGAGTTTAATTCCTCTTGACTACAGGTTAATTCCTGCTGAAGCGAAGACATTGTTGTTGTTACGGAGGAGAGTTCTTTCTCAAGCTCCTTGTTTCTGTCGCTAAGTTGCTGGTTTTCCTCCTGAAGTTTCTCTTTGATAGTTTTCTCCTCCTGGAGCTGCAATAAAAGTTCTTGGTTTTCATTCGTCTTGCTTTCGAGCAGAGATTCAAGTTGGTGAAGCTTATTATTGACATCCATATATTGTTTGTTGGTGTTTTGAAGTTGTTCTTGATATTTAGCCTCCATTTGGTGTTGCACATGTTCATATTCGTGGATAAGTGTCATTCTTATATCTTCAAGTTCTTCTTGACTAATTTTATTTTTTGATTCTTTTATGAGGCGTTCAATCTCCTCCTCACGTTTGGCAAGTTCAACTTTCAAGTAACTGATTTCGTCCAGCTGTTTGTCGAGGTTCTCATGAGACATGTAAGAATCATTTTTCAAGATTTCCTTGTTTTTGATATCCATTGTGTGCTTCTCCTGAACGGAGTCAAGAAGAGAGGACTCATTAACGGTTGCAGCCTGTTCAAGTGAAGTAGATACACTTTTTGTATCAGTATGATCCTTCATCACACTATCTTTTGGTACCAATATAGCGTTGGGTAGTTTATCAGTCATACCATCCTCCGTACCTTCTTCTACTCTGTCGTGCAAAAAGTAATCCGTAGATGAAGTTGCAAAATTATGAACGAGATTTGTTCCGTCTCCATACGCATGTTGCTCTTGCTGTTGATGTTGATGTTGCTGTTGTTGCTGTAGCTGTAGTTGTTGTTGTTTTCTCTCGCTCAGCAGTAGGCGACCACGTTGCTTTAGTCGTTCTGTCTCTTCTGGGCTACGATTAATATCCATGGAGCGTCTAGACTCCAGTAATGCCCGACCCCGCTCAAGGTATAGCTGCTTTGTTTGGTCATCCATCATTTCCATCTTTTAAATACAATGTATAAACGTACAGAGAGTGAGGTTTGGAGTATTGCTTTATTGTCCTCTCTCTTTTCTCTCTTCCTTTCGCTTTTTTTTTTTTTTTCTTTGGCTTATTCCTTCAGTTTTCTTTTGCTTCGTTGCTCCTTTGCCTTTCACACAGAAATACTTTTTCTTGTCTTGGTTGGTGGTGTGTTGTTTTAGTGAACAGATGGGAATAAACACACACACACAAGTATACCTTTCCACGGTACTAATTTCCCTAGTGCACACAGGCTTTCTCACTGAATAAATAAAAAGATAAGAGATATAAAGACATGGGGGGAGAGAGAGAGTGAGAATAAAATAAAGAAATATTAATTCTTACCAAATATTCTGGCAAAATCAACGATTCCCAAGAAGCTCACAAAATGTTAATATGGATCAAATAACATATACTAAAGTAAAGATAAACAAGTTGACTATAGAAAACTAAAAATAAAACTAAAAATAAGAATAAAGCAATGTGAGGACGCAAAAAAAAAAAAAAAAAAACGTACAATTTAACAGAAGTTCTCTAATCATGTACGGTTAATTTCATTTTAGCCAGTAATATATAGATTCTATTATCCATGAGAAAAAAGATGAGTAGTGTTGTGATTCCGGTTCATATTTTTCTTTTTCTTTTTCTTCTTCTTCGTCAGAAAACGGTGCACTTGCTTTCGGGATCGGTCCAGTAGCTTCAGCAATCTTTTTAAAAACAGAATTATTTTTGTTAGTAGTACTACTCCGGTTAATTGTATAGTCATGAGGACGAATAATAGTGAATGAACGTATTGATGATTTTGATAGCATTATTTCTGATGAAAACATAGTTGAAGGTGAAGAAGTTCCTAATTCTTCCTCCTCATTAGGGAGGGTGTGGTTCAGTTTATCTTCTTTAGATTGATTCTCAGAGACATTAGTTTTACAACTTCCAAAAACATATGAAAAGCGTGACTCTTCTTCTTCTTCTTCAGTATTTAACGTTATTAAAGATGAGGATGGTTCAAGAGTATGCATTATCTTCATAATAGATTGTGACTCTTCAAAATCACAGTTATCCATTGTTTCTGTAGTCGTAATCCATGGATGATTCCGTACTTCCTGTAATCCCACTCGTTTGGTTGGATCAAGCTGTAGCATTTTCTGTAATAGGTCAAAAAGGGGTTGAGATAAAAGTCCATTTGGATGGCAATGACGTTGTAAAATGATTTGAACTTGAGTTTGTGCTTCCCTGAGCTCTTCAGGTGAGCGTACAGTGCCAAAAATGTAATGGCCGAATAGCATTGAATAGAGAATAAGACCAGCAGACCATACTTCTGCTTTGCTTCTATCATAAGAAGGTGTATGCTCAAAATCATGGAACGTTCTTTGGCGTATTGAAAGTATAAATTGATGTAATCGTTCTGGTGACATAAATGCCGGGGAACCACCACAACCTCTTTTATCTTTGCGTAGCTGACTACAAGGTGTTCGACGTGCAAAGCCAAAATCAGAAAGTTTTAAAGAAGCCTTCGTTATGTCTTGTGAAGTCAGGAGGATATTGTCAGGCTTGAGATCACGATGCCATAATACTATTGATTCTAGAAACAAAAGTGCATCTATTAACTGTGTAAAAAGTCGTCGGGCGATGGCGATGGGTATAAATGGGGTAACTATATTACCCGTACGACTTTCAGTTTCCCTATTATTATTATTATTATTATTATTATTATTATTATTATTATTATTATTATTATTATTACTGTCCTTCTTACTCCCTACTGGGGTGGTGGCCGTATTGCCCTTGAATCTTCGTTGTAAATAATCCCCAAGAGATCCTCCACGGCAGTACTCCAGCAACAGACAGCTGGGTACACCATTCCCTTCGTAGAAGCCAAGCACAGAGACAATGTGTGGATGTCTTCCATTTGAAATAATGCGACGCAACTCAACCGCCTCCACAACAGCCAAAGGCTCGTAACCAGGTTTAGCAAGTTTTAAAACAGCAAGTCTATCACTGCCAAAGAGTGGAAGTTCTCCGTTCATGAAATTGTTAGTATTATTATTATTATCATTATTACTACTAGTACTACTAATAGTATTATCGTTGACTTGAGTTCCTTGACGTGGTTCAAATGAGGAGGAATGTACGGGTTCATGTCTCTCATTCACTTGTACCAAAAAGATCTCAGCACAAGCCCCTTCTGCAATCTTTTTCAGTACTGTAAAATCCATTTCAGATAATATTGGCAAATTATAGTGGTGTACAGATAATACTTTAAAATAACTTCCTTCCAAATGGTAAGGGAAGGAGATTCAAGAAAAAAAAAAAAAAAAACCCTCGTTAGCGAAATATTTTAAGGAAGAAAGAAGAAAGAAAAGAGAGAAGAAGAAAAAAAAAAAACGTAAAAAAAAAAAGAAAAGAAACAAGAAAGTGTATTCAAATTAGTGTAACCAAAAAAAAAAAAAAAAATCTAAATAAAGAGAGACACAGAAGAGGTGTTATTTTTTTTTTTTCTTATTTCTTTTCCATTTGCGTAAATGAAATAAAAAAGTAAAAAAAAAAAGTGTATTATATCGCTTGTCAGCAGTACGTATGCGAATTTTTAAAAGCAATAAGAAAGAAATACATGCAAACCAAAATACCTAATCTGAGCAATTTATTTTAGTTTCTGATAAAGACATGAAAAGAATCTCATCTGGGTAAAAAAAAAAAAAATACCCCATTTTTATTTTCTTTTCCTTTGTATAATGAACTCTCCCTAACAACTGTATACCGAGACATCCACTTTAGGGTATTTCTCCTTATTTAATAGTGGCTACACACTTGTTATAGGTCATACCTAACTCTATTTATCATGCTTTTCCTCGTCCTCTCATTCTTTCTTTCTCTCTCTCTTTTTTTTTCTTTCTTTTTCTTTCTTTTTTTTCCTTCTTTTTTTTTTCTCCTTTGGTTTTTTTTTTTTTTTTTTCCTGTTGTTGTTATTGTCGTCGTTTTTGTTGTTGTTTTTCCTTTTCCTTTCCCCACTCCTTACCTAACGTTAAGGAGGCGGCGGTAGTACTTCTCTACCTTGTGTAGTAAAGCCTGCACAGTGCGTTGATCAGCTATCTCTATGGGTGGCAAAAGCGGGACAGTGAGAACTTGCAGAGTGCCGTAGTCCTGCGTGTCCGTCACTCCCCCTCCAGTAGTGTTGGGAACTGTAGAAGTTAAAGAAGGAACTGAAAACGCACCGCGGCGAACCACAATTTGTTGTAAAAGCAAACGCAATATAGACATAGCTTGTTCGTATGTATGTTGACGACGGGAACGTCCACCTTGTAGGTAAACTATTTCTTCGTCTTCCATATAATTATCATGTTCTTCATTAGCGCTAAGGATCATCTCTTCCGTCGTTGCCGTACGAATGAGAGCGAGTGCACGTGTAAAGAGTAGTGATTGCGCACTTGGATATCTTGTCTTTGAAAGACGCGGTGATGGGCAAATAGAGGACCCCACAGTCTCATCACCTCCTGACAAACTTGTTGTAGAGAAGGCCATGTGAGGTGCCCCAAGTAATCCTCTCTGTATTAAATCTGGAAGATTACGTTTTACACGTTCTGCGGTTTCTTGAATATACGTTTCCATTTGTCTAATGTCTTCAGGAATAAGTCGAAATGCAAAACGTGCATTGGATGACATGTTGAATAAAGTATCCGTCATGGTTGTATTTTCAATAGAACTTCCAATTCCAACACCACCACCAGGATATTCCTTTAATATCGCTGCATACACTGCAGCACGAAGAAGTTCCCATGCGTATGAAAGAAGTACAAGTCGACGACCAGGATCCACTTCTGCCTCAATAACATCATGACGTAAAACATGCATATGATCTCGAACAGCTTGATAAATAGCCTGTTGACGCTGTGAAATTCCCCAATTTCTACTCAAATTAAGGGCATTACCATTATCGGTATCATCATCAGCAGTTTGGAGTTGTATGGAACCAACAGGGTTTGCTATTGGTTCAGATGTTAAACCTCCCATTGCTGTTGTTGTTGTTGTTGTAGTCGTTGTAGTAGTTATTGTTGTTGCTGCGGTCATTGCTCCAGTTGATGTTTCTTGTTTTTTGGTATATTTTAACTCACCTGATGTATCTGCATTTTTCATCTCTGTTGTTGTTTCCATTGTCTCCTGAAGAGAGAACCATGGGTGCTGTCGCACCTGTTCAATCGTAAACCGGGTTTTGGCATTTGGATCTAGCATTCTTCGCAGTAGAGTATAACAATGTTGAGAAAGTGATAATTTCTCCGTCTTCGACGGTTGTCCATCGCCTTTACTCTCATCATCTACTCCAGAAGCGGAGTGACGAAGTTTCCCTGTCATCTCTAGTTCTTCTGCACGTGTAATAGCGTTCAAAAGCTCTTCCGGTGTGCGTACAGGAGAGGTGGAGTGTAAATATGGATGTCTGGCAAATAATAATTCATACATAATAACACCAGCCGCCCAGACTTCAGCTTGGAAATCGTAAAAATCACGAACAAGACGTTCTGGTGACATGTATGCAACTGTACCAACAGCAGATTCAAACATGATATTAGCGACATTACCACCAGTTTGTGCAGATCCAGCGGCATCACTGCAGTCACTGCTTTTGGCCATTCCCCAATCAGCTACCTTTACAATGGCTTCATCAATGTTAGAGCTAGTAAGAAGAATATTTGCTGGTTTTAAGTCACGATGCATGGTGTGATTCTCCTTTAACGCACAAAGACAGTCTACGAGTTGACGCATAATGTGTCTCGCTTGCCGTTCCGTTAATGGATCATGTCGAGCGAGAAATTCCTTTAAATCTCCTCCTTTACAAAGTTCCAAGACGTGTACTAATGCAATCTCATTCTTTGAAAGTTTTCGGTAGACGCCAAATAGTCTAATGATGTTTGGATGCTCAAGCATCTGCAAGCGGTTAAGTTCCCTCGCCTCTGTTAGGAGTTTCTCTTTCTTTCCTGGTGGTCCTCTAAGCACTTTCACAGCAACCCCATAGCCCTCTTTCTGATGTACTCCACGGTAAACTGTACCGAACTTTCCTTTACCAATAACATCATTCTTGTTTACTATATAGGCGTCAATAACCCATGAATTCTCGCGACGCACACGATGTTGTTGTTGACTTTCTTCTCCTTCTTGATGCTTCTCTTCTCCTTGCTGCTGTTTTTCTTCTTCTCCTTGCTGCTGTTTTTCTTCTTCTCCTTGCTGCTGCTTTTCTTCTTCTTGTCGCTGCTGTTTTTCTTCTTCATGTCGCTGCTGTTTTTCTTCTTCTTGTCGCTGCTGTTTTTCTTCTTCTTGTCGCTGCTGTTTTTCTTCTTCTTCTTCTTCTTGATGTACATCTACCCCTGCTGCTGAGATAGCCTCAGTCTCCAACGCCCCCGGCCGGTGCACGACTGTCACTACAAGCCGCACGTCCCCTCCACTCACTTCAAACGACTTGAGCAGCCGGACGGGGCCCGGGCAGTAATCCCGCAGCCACACCGGCACCTCCTTTTCTTCTTTTTCTTCTTCTTTTTCCGTTTCTTCTTCTTTCAGTTCCTTCTCTTCTCCGGTGCTCCTCCTCTCCTCCACGCCGATGAGGACCTCCACACCAGCCGTGGGGTCGCGGCCGGAAAAAACAGCGCCGTGGGAGTTGCGGGCGACGGGGTGCGTCCAGTCGACGGCGCTGGCAGTCAGCCGCAGCTCCAACGCCCGCCAGGGGCCGTCCACACACACCGGGGGACGATTGCCATCAGGGGCATTTTTACTGTTGAGATAAGTCTCGGGATTCTCAACATTTTCACTGTTGCCACTAATACTACTACCACTACTAGTACTGCCACTGTTACTATTATTGTTATCATTATTATCACTATTATTATTATGATCACCTCTATGTGTTTTACATCTGCGCTTTTTATTCTTTTTCTTGTTGGTGTTGTTTGGATTATTGTTGCTAGCATTGCTGCCTCTGTGCAGCTGATCTCCTCCCGTAGTTATACACGTCTCACTGTTGATTTCCGGTATGGCGTTCACACCTTCTTCATTCTCTTCCATGAAGATTAAGGTTCTATAAATATTTCCCAACCTTTTTTCTTTTTTTTCCCTTCTCGCCTTTTGTCAGAGTTTCTCCCTTTTTTTTTTTTTTTTTCAGGGTATATCAATATATCAATATATGAATATTATGTACAGGAACGTCTATTTTCCTTTTCTCGTTTTTGTCTTTGGATGCAGAGAAGAAAAAAAGGAGAAGAAGAAGCAAGAAATATACTAATAAATTGATATCATCATACAGACAGAAAGACCAAGAACAACAAGAAAAAAAAAAAAACATCACAGCAAAACAATAAAAAAGAGAAAGGAAGATTAGAGAGAAAAAAAAACAAAAAAAAAGAATAGAGAAGAAAGAAACGGCTCGCAGAACCAACACATCTAGACCGTAGGTAGAGAAACCCAGAGCAAAAGAAAGAAAAATAATAACAATAATAATAACAATAATAACAGTAATAATAATAACAATAATAATAATAACAATAATAATAGAATAGAGAAACGAGAAAAAAAAGAAAGAGAGAATGAGTGAGATAGAGAGAGAGAAGAGAGGAAGTGGAAAAGGAAAAAGAAAAAAAAAAAAAAAACGTTTAACAATAGAATCAGGGGGAAAGAGATAAAAACAATGAGGTAAAACAAAAAAACGATGGATGTGTGTGGGGGGAAAAAAAAGAAAGTTTAATTCCCTCACGCTGTTTTTTTTTTTTCTTCTTTTCTTTTCTTTCCAGTG